CGCCGCGCGCGACCACCCCGCCGCCCCTCGCGCCTCGCGCGTGGGCGCCCGCCGCCAGCCCGCGGCGCGCGCGAGCCGGGTGCGGCGCGCGGCGCGCACATTGATTTCAGCGCTCTCAGCAGCTTGCTTGCGGGTTCAAGGATCGCAAACGAGTCGGCCTGCAGCAGGGGCGTGTACACCAGGGTGAGCGGTTTCCGTGTCACGCAAACTTGGCGGCGTTGAGCGTCAGGGGCGAGCGCCCCAGCGCAGCAGCAACGGCAGCCGCCGCTGCCGCCGCGCGCGCTCCAGCTGACCAGCCGCGCCCCCTGCCGCCCGTCTTGGCCCTCACCTGGCCCCACGCAGGGGCCGGCCGGCCTGGCCTGCTCGCCCCGGGCCGCCTTTGCATGGCCGCCCTCTGCAAACGTTTTTTGGTTGCCAGCCTGCGCGGCCGCCCCCGCCGCGCGGGCAGGCAGCCCAACGCCCCCTCTCTGTCATCGATGCACGCGCGAGCGCGCGGCTGGCGGCGGCCGCATGGGGGCGCGTGCTCGTGCGCGCGCCCGGGCCGTGAGTAACGGGGGGTCGCACGGCGTCCAGCCGGGCACGCTGCGGGGTCACCCATGGGACCGGTCCATACGCAACCCAGCAGCCGCTTTTACCGTATCTGGCTGGTCGTCCCTCTGTGCATAATTCACAGCAAGCAAAATCGGATGGTGGTTCAACTGTGTGTGTGGGTAACTGTTGTTGGTCTCGTTTTCGTGGGAAGCGCCCGGCCGGTGACACGGCTGCGGGATGGTCGGCGCTCGAACCTCGGCAACCTGCTCAAACTTCACGTCAAGGTGCCAGCGGTCAGGTGCTTGCAAGACACAAGGCAATATTACACACAGAATACCCACACGCGATTTGCAGCCCAAACAGGAGAGGTTGAAGAGCCCACATTCGCTCAGACGACACGGCCCAGCGAGATCTGCCGGCACAGAACAGGGGCCCATCTCGTGCTTCAAGAGTGCCACGGGCTGATACACAGCGCACATGGGCATCCGTCAGTCTAAAGAAGCCCGCAGAGGGCCCAAGCCTGCAACAAAATCCGCAGGCGCCCCCACAGCAGCGGCGCCGCTGCCCCAGCGAAGCCCATCAGCGCAGGCAGCGCCCACCGAGCAGGCGGGGACGCGCACAAACAGTATCAGCCCAGGTATAGCCAGCAACGCAGCAGCAGCGGCGGCGTCAGCGGGCGGTGGCGAGGGGGGCCCCCACACTGCCCAAGCGCTTGCCCCCATTACCACGGGCGTCGACCCCTCCCACGGAAGCGCCGCCAGCGGCAGCGCCGGCGC